ATTCAACAGCTCAAGCATTCTCCTCAGATCGTTTCCCTGTCTAATTTCAGTATACTCCCCAACCGCCCGTACTACCCATCTGATTGTTTTTACTCCTTGCGTCATGTGCGCACTCATGCCGTGGTGTCAGGTTAAGAGTGACATGCACTATCAACAGAAACAGATTGACACCATTTCACTAACACTCCGGAGAGAGAAACAAACCTTCATGAACGCAAAGACTGACCTGGCGGATGTGGAAGAGCTGATGGGCGATAAGAACAAGAAGAAGGACAAGGAGTGGACCAAGGTGTGTGTGTACGTGTGCGTGTGCGTGTGTGTGCGTGTCGTATGCACGGGTGCGTGCGTGTGCGTGTGTGTGTTTGTCTCTCTAGTTAAGCACCTGAGTATCATTTCATAGCGCTAACGTCGTCTATTCGTCTAGCACAGTTGTATTATCCCTCGCTATACTCGTTCGGCCATTTTTCTTGTACTATGCCTGCTTGTGGACTGTTCTCGCACTGTGCCTACTAGTCCACTGTCTTTGTACCCTGCAATTGTACCATACTTATTTGTCCCTCATTCTCATACCATACCTACTTGTCGACTGTTCTCGCACTGTGCCTACTAGTCCACTGTCTTTGTACCATACTTATTTGTCCCCTCATTCTCATACCATACCTACTTGTCGACTGTTCTCGTACTGTGCCTACTAGTCCACTGTCCTTGTACCATACTTATTTGTCCCTCATTCTCATACCATACCTACTTGTCGACTGTTCTCGTACTGTGCCTACTAGTCCACTGTCCTTGTACCATACTTATTTGTCCCTCATTCTCATACCATACCTACTTTTCGACTGTTCTCGTACCCTCCCCACTAGTCAACATTTCTCACCCCGCACACTTCGGCCACCCCACAGCTGCTATTGCGACGGAAGAAAGCCACCGACGCCATCGAGGAGTCACGCTTAAAGATGGAGCAGCTGCAGAAGGACGACCAGGACACGCGGGAGATGATGCACCGAGACATGCCTGACCTGTTGGAGGAGGTGCAGATGCTGGAGGGCTGGAAGAACAGGGGCGTCAAGGACATGTATCGCGAGCTGTCCAATATCCTACTCAATCAGGTAGGCGGGTGGGTGGGGGTGTGGGTGTGGGTGTGGGTGTGGGTGTTATTTACCATCAGGTGATTACAATAAAGCCGTGTACTGCACTTTTGAAGGTGCAGATGTGGGAGGGAGGGGCTGATGTGTTCATAATGTATACCAGTGGCATATTATAGTATAT